TACCCCATTGCCTCCCTTACATGCCAGCCAACCAAGATGGGGCTACTCTTCATAACACCATTTAATACCGAAAAATTCGTTAAGATAAAAACTCGACGTAGTGAAATGTCATTTTTTCATATTTAATTTAAACAAGGTCTGAGTCATTTCTATGTTTATTTTTTATTTTTTTTTTACTCACATTATATTGATTATTATTGTACTTTTGTACTACATTTTAAAAAATATTTTTATGATTTTTTTATTAACTACAAAAATTATTTACAAGATTTTATCCATTCAACGTTAAAACCCAATTTTAATTTTCTCCGAACCATAATGAACCAAATTATTATTATAGCCATTATGTATTAATTTGTTATTCACGTATCAGTAAAAGGGTGATTTTATTCGAATACAATTTTAATCTTAGATTTTTTTTTTTTTTTTTTTTGTTTTTTTGTTTCCATACTATGAATGCATTTTGTTCTCTATTTAATTATTATTATTAATTCAATAAATTCTTTGAAATATATATAAATATATGTATATATATAGAATAAAAGAAATATTTGGTTCTTTCTTTAGATGTCTAGTGAACCTCTCAAATAGGATTCGAATCCATATGAAGTTCTGACCATCTGTCAAAGAAGAAAGTTTTAGGATTCTCGAGAAATTCTTCGATTTCTTCCGGAAGCGGATGATTATTCATCTGCTTCTCACGTTCCATGAATAGCCGGGACATTGAGGAATATCCATAAAAACATTTAGGGAATCGGTCTGATTCTATCTCTTCGTTCCGTTTGAAGAAAGAAAGTATCCCAAAGAATATATGCTCATTAATTATTTATAAACAAGTGAGAAGGGTAGGAAAAATGTGGGAAATTGAGATGAAATAATGAGGTGTTAGATGAACACGACTCTCAGACTCTCCACAATAGTATGATATTGTCCACTTTGAGCATAACTGCTCATGGCTTTGTGATTTGATTTAGGCTTCCCAAAAGTCCTCACACCCATGGAAAGAGTATTATTTGATTATAAACCAATGATAATTCCCTAAATTAGTAGAGGAGGGACTTTAATCTGGAAATTGGAGAGGGAGGGAGGAGGAAGGTTTGAGAAGAGAAGATTATGGAGAATTAGGTGTTTGGATGTAAAAGTGGAAATGGGTTTGTCTCAAAATTCAAACCTTTTCATTGTATAAATACCCATCTCTTCCTTCATCATCTCTATTAATCAACTCTCTTCTACCACATCCAATGCCGCTACTACTACCTCCATCATTCATTTGGGCCACTTCCATCCTTCTTTGTGGCCTCGTCTCGCCCACCCTTGGCGTCGGTGGGGCAGTACATCCTCCCTTCAACTACAGCGATGCGCTGGACAAGGCCGTGTTGTTCTTTGAGGGGCAGAGGTCAGGCAAGTTACCTGTTGCTCAACGAGTCATGTGGCGCGGTGACTCTGCCCTATCTGACGGAGCCCATCAGAGTGTATGACAAAACTAGCACACAATGTCAAGCTGTAAGAATATTAATTATAAGAATATTGAGTTAAATCTTTGCAGGTGAATTTGGTGGGGGGTTACTACCATGCCGGAGACAATGTCAAGTTCGTGTGGCCGATGGCGTTTACGGTGACATTGCTGAGTTGGACCGCCGTTGAATATGAAAATGAGATGGGTTCTGTCATGCAACTACAACACCTCCGGGGATCCGTCCGGTGGGGCGCCGATTTCATATTCAAAGCTCATGTTTCACCCACCACACTCTATACTCAGGTTTTCATATTATTTCCTATTAATATATATTTCCTTAAATCTTATTTTCATCTATTATTTATATATTTATATTTATAACGTCACCCTTTCTTTTCATTCATGGCTTACACATTTTTATGTTTTTTTAATATATGTGACGGAGATTCGAACCTCCGATCTTTTAATCAACGATACAGTATCAGTTGAGATATGTTTACATTGTCAAAAATAAAATGAGATTACACGTCGGTTAGAGGTGTGAATGAAACATTATTTATAAGAATGTGAAAAAATCTTCGGAGAAAACTCATTTTAAAACTTTGAGAAGGAGCTCAAAAGAAAAAATTCAAAGAGGACAATATCTACTAGTGGTGGGTTTGAACGGCTACAAATGATATCAAAACAAGATACCGGGCGATGTGCCAGCAATGAGGCTAAGCTTTGAAGGAGGTGTTTGGACGGCTACAAATGATATCAAAGCTGGACATCGGGTGATGTGCCAGCAAGAAGGCTAAGCCTTGAAGGAGGAGTTTGGACGGCTATAAATGATATCAAAGCCAGAGATACTGGGCGTCGCAGGGTTCCAATTGAATTAATAAAAGAGTGAGAACGAAAATGAATACGATAGAAAAGAAGCTAAGCCTTGAAGGGTGTACATGTCTCTCTAGCAGACATATTTTAAAAATATTGTGAGGAAATTCAAAAAGTAAAAAAAGACAATATCATTTATCACATCGGCAAATAATTTATCACATTAAAATTCTGTCACGTTCATTATTAATATAAATTCGAAATTTATAGTAAAGTTTTAATCTAATCACCATGAAAATTTCAAAAATTATTCCAAGAGGGATTAAAATTATAATTTAACTATGAAAAAAAAAACACTAAAGGGTAGAATTATATTCCAAATTTGAAAATTAAAAAGACATGAAATATATTTGCACAGGTAGGAGATGCAAATGGCGATCTCATCGGTGCTGGGAGCGGCCGGAGGACATGGACACTCCTCGAACGCTTTACAAGATAACGCCTAGTTCGCCAGGCACCGAAGCCGCTGCGGAGGCCGCCGCTGCGCTTGCGGGCGCTTCCATTGTATTCAGCCATGTGGATGCCAATTACTCAAGAGCCCTTCTTCAACACTCCATATCTGTGAGAACTATTTTTAGTTTGTTTCTTTCGGCACCTTCTGTGGTTAACTTAGAATGGTGTGAAACGTGGTCGTTTTGGTGGCAGCTCTTTCAGTTTGCTGATGAGTTTAGAGGATCCTACTCTGCTTCTTGCCCATTTTACTGTTCCTTTATTATTAGCTAATCCTTTTTCCTTGTCTTGTTCTTGTAGGATGAGTTGCTGTGGGCAGCTGCTTGGCTATACAATTACTTGAGCTATGTTGTAAGCAATCAAGGGTGGAGTCAAGCTGCCTCTGAGTTCAATTGGGACAACAAATTTGTTGGAGCTCAAACGGGTATTGTTTTTTTTAGGCTTCTTAGTCATCCCCTTCGTGGCTTAGTGTCCTCGCTAGCAGATATTGTCTTCTTTAGGCTTATTCTCTCCAATCGATGTAAGATCTCAAAATCCACCCCTTTAGTGCTAGCGTCCTTGTTGGTATTCATTCCTTCCCCTTCAAGGCCCACTCAAACACCGCCCCGTGTCCACTCCATTGGGACCCAGCTTCCTTGCTAGAACACCGATCGATGTCCACCCTCTTTCAAGACCCAGTGTTCTCTCTAGCACACTACTCAATGTCCACCCCTTCGAGACTTAGCGTCCTCGCTGGCACACCATCCAGTGTCCATCTCCTTTCAGGCCTAGCTCCCTCATTAGGGCACACTGTCTAGTGTCCACCCCATTTGGGGCCAAGCATCTTTAGTGGCATACCACCCAATGTCTACCTCCTTCAGGGCTACTGTCCTCACTAGCACACATTGTCCAGTGTCTACTCCCTTCGGGGTCCAACGTCTTCGTTGGTGGCACATCGTTCGGTGTTTGACTCTGATACCATTTGTAAGTCCATGACTAGAAAATATTATCCTTTTTAGGCTTTCTTTCAGACTTCCTATCAGAATGATTCATTCCCCTATGGGATCTCAAAAATAGTGTACATAGGAATTTCACTTTATTCCAACAACCTCAACTTTCTACAGGAATTCTATAAAGGAAAGAGAGAATTGAGCAAGTTTAAGAGCGATATAGAATCGTTCATCTGTTCAGTGATGCCCAACAGTTGCTCTTCTCAGATTCCTACAACGCCTGGTACAATCACACACCTTTCTTCCATGAAAATACATATATATATATATATATATATATATATATATATAAAAGCTTTTGTGCCTCTTGTTTTGTAGGTGGGCTTCTTTTCATAAGAGATAGCACCAACTTGCAATATGCATCAACCTCTTCCATGGTGCTTTTCATGTAATCTAAACTCTTAAACCAAGCCCACGTCGATGGAGTTCATTGCAGATCCAAATATTTCTCCTCTTCTCAAATCAAAATCTTCGCAAAATCCCAAGTAATTGAGTTCACTGATTCATTTGCAGCCAACCCAAGTTCATAATTCAATCATAAACTTTGTTGTTTATAGGTGGATTACATATTGGGGGAAAACCCCTTGAAGATGCCATACATGGTGGGATTTGGCAGCAAATACCCATTAAATTACATCATAGAGCCTCATCCATCCCTTCAATAAAAGCTCACCTTTTTAGCCTAAAATGCTTAAAAATATTAGTCATGTATAGTTGTCAACCTTACAATTTTAAAATGCGTCTGTAACGGGTCGCTAGAACATGCTAGCATGCGAGCATATCTTGTTAGAAAATGTATGTTAAAGACTTTGGAACTACGATTTGAGATGGTTAGAAAATGCATGTTAAGGATTTCAAGAGGGCGATGTTGGATGTATGTTATGGTAAAATTACCATTGTGCCCCTTGGTTGAGATTTTAAAAACCGACGTTGTTTTGTGTATTATGTAAGATAATCTTATCTTGCAGTTATTAAAAGTATATTTAAAGACTTTGGAACGACGATTTGAGACGATTTCAAGAGGACAATGTTGGATGTACGGTATGGTAAAATTACCATTGTGCCCTTAGGTTAGATTTTCAAAAACCACTTGTTTTTGTGTATTATGCAAGAGAATCTTATCCTGTAGTTATTATAATTATATTTTTTAAAAATGGTAATAATAAGATTATTTATTTATTTATTTATTTATTTTTACTCTCTGGAGCATTCTTAATTTGAAGCTTCTCTTCCCAATTAAGACATTATAAATGTTGGAGGGAACAGAAGTGCTTGTAGAATGGAGACGACGGGGTTATTCAAATCCTCCATGAGATTTTTCTCCGATCAAGAGCTCTGCTACGCCGATATCCTCACTCCTCAAGAGGTATGATTTTCGCTTCATCATCATCATCTTCTATGATCTCTGCTCGGTGTTCTTTCATCTCAAACATTGATTTCGAATAGGCCCTTGCGAGAATTCAAGTTGCGGTCCTCAATTTCCTCAGAATTCTCAGTTCCTCTACTCCTGCCATCTCAAATCTTCCTCTGGTACGATTTCTAACTAAGAAACGAGACGAGATGAGATGTATGATCTTCAAGTTCTAGATCTTTCCGCTCTTACAATCGGATGCTATTCTCTGTTACTACTACTAAGACGGGAATAATATACCGATTGGATAGATTGATCGAAGTTCGAACAACAGCCGAGTTAATCAAGGAATTTTAACCGATGAATCTTGGATTTTCCTTTCGCACTCCTTTTCTACGCGGTCTTTGATGAGAGCCAATGCTGCTAAGGCCTTTGTTAGAGGTATTGCAAACCAAACCTAATCTTCGACGGTCAGATTTTTGTAATGAAAGTTTTGTTAGCCTCTGTTTTGGTCTCTTTCCATTTTTTTTCCCTATTTTGTGGTGCAGTATGGAAGCTGATGGAGATGTGTTCTCAGATCTTGCTTCAGGAAAAGCGAGTGACGCAGAGGGAGCTCTTCTACAAGCTGCTCTGTGATTCACCTGCTTATTTCCCCACTCAGTTGCATGTCAATAGAACAATTCAAGGTGATGTTGTTCAACAAACAAAAACTGACTTGTTTAAAACCTAAAACTGCATCGAACATGGTGACCAAATCTTAGTAGTTTTATTGCAGATGTTGTAACATTACTTCGATGCAGCCGTTTCAGCCTTGGAGTTATGGCATCTAGCAGGGGACTTGTCGCCGGCCGTCTTTTGCTTCAGGCACATTGTTATGTTTATAAATTTGGCTATTTACACAATATGCATGAAATGGAAATTCGCTTATATAGTGCATTGAGTCCCTCTTGTTCTGCTTTCACATGACAAATACATCGAAAATCCTTGAAATCAGGCAATTGATAATGCATGTATAGTTCTATTTCTTGGTATCTGGACAACGCGCACTTCTAAGGTTTCTTCTATTGAACCAAATTCTTGAATATCGAATCCTTTCTGAACAATTTCAGTTGCTGTAGGAGCCAGAACAAGAAACTGTGGACTGCGCTGCCTGTGGTTCTTCTGGATATGCCATTTCTGGTGACTTGGACCTGCTGCAGAAGTTGACTCTGAAGACTGACGCTCGGTATGTAATTGTCATCGAAAAGGTAATTTCAGTTTCATAAATTATGACTTGCTCATCAACTATGATTTTGAAGGCAATAATGTGAGTATTTAATGAATCATAAGTCGTGAACATGTGTCAACTGTCAAACATTATTATTGGTTATACAGCATGCCATCTTCCAGCGGCTGGTGGAGGATCGAGTTTTCAATCACATTCCCAGTATTCTTATCACTGCCAAAGGATATCCAGACATAGCAACAAGGTAAGTTTGTTCAACTAGTTCCGAAGATTGCAGTATTCTTATCAATCCCTTCTTGGCAGGCACGACCAGAACTTATGAACTAACTACCCCTTCTCAGGTATTTTCTTCACAGAATCAGCAAAACGTTTCCCCACCTGCCAATTTTCGGCCTTGTTGATTGGTATGATCCTCTTTAATATCAACTCAGCAACAGATTGTAGAATTATCTTCTCATGTTTAGCTTCTGGGGTTCTTAAGGAACCCTGCTGGGTTGGCTATATTATGTACCTTCAAGTATGGAAGTATCGGGATGGGCTTAGAGGCATACAGATACGGTACGTCTCAGACGTTTGATTGCGCCACCCATTTCTGATTTCAGATCATAAAACTGAAGAATCTGTCTACTTTACCAGCTTGCAATGTAAAATGGTTAGGCATGCGAGGAGACGATGTACAACTTATACCACAAGAATCTTTGGTTTCACTCAAGCCCCGGGACCTACAAATTGCCAAAAGCTTGATGTCCTCGGAAATATTACAGGTATCGTACAACAATCCACACATATTGATGCTTTGGCCTTTTTAGGTTATCAAAATCTAAGGCTATTAAACCGCAACAGGAGAATTATCGAGAAGAGCTGACCTTAATGGTTGAGGGAGGGCAAAAGGCCGAACTTGAAGCTTTGTACCACAATGGATTTGATTACTTGCAGAAGTACATAGTTAAAAAGATTATTCAATTTAATTACATCTGACATTATTTTGAATCTACAGAAGTAGATAAAAGGCTGTTGGGATACTTTCCAAGAAGCAAACGAAATTTAATTGTAACTTGTAGCTGCCAAATTTTGATATAAATTAGAATCCAACACCATAATCTAGAGAGCGTTGCTAATACAAATATTAAATCTTTCTATCATGGCCTCTGCCTACTTATAATCAGAGCCGTAGGTTGAGACTAAAGAAATAAATCGTAGACGGAACAAAATTCAGTTTAAAAAAAGTTGCCACACAAGAGAGCTCGATATAATATTTGTCCTCTAATCTCTCTGCAATATACATCGCCACAGGTGTTGCGTACTACACTACAAAATTGTCAACTACTCCTTCGACCGCAGAGTTACTCTTTTCCCTTCCACCAAAAACTTCCCACTGCTCTCAATCTGCAACCACAAAAATCAAAAATAAAACCAATTGCCATCGAGGAATTTTTATATTCCAATGAAGCTTTTGTTAAAAATAATAAAATAAATCCCATCCCATACTTCAATGGAAGAAAATGGAAAAGAAAAAAAAAACGGGCCTTGCCCAACATGGGAGATTAAACGAAGGCCTAGCCTTTGAGTTCAATTGCTTGCTTACAACAGGTGTGCGGTGCTTGTGGTAATATATGAGGCTAGAATGATACCTTCTGTTTCAAGTAAGCAAGAGCATCTTTCTTGGAAGAACAGTTGGCAAAAACAGAAGTGGCGCGTTCATCAATGAAAGATTTCAGCTGTTTCAGCTTTAAACATTCTCCAGGTGCCTACAATGATGAGAACCAATATAGTGATGCCTTTAGAGAAACATATAAACCATAAAAGAACAGCTCGTAGCTACTGTTAACATACTTGGCTAAGAATTGTTTTACACAATTTTCTCAACTTCACTTTCTGCTGCCCGCCAGATTTTTGTGTGCTGAAAGAGTCATCATATTTCCGTTTCATGGGAGGAGGGGCGGCATCACCAGAGTCTTCGTCGTCACTTTCATCAAAGGAAGTCTTTTTCCCCTCAAAGTAGCAGCCAGCTATTTTCTTTGGTCTACTCTTAATACCCAGTCCTTGCTTTCCTGTTGTGGATTTATCCTATAAATTTCAAAAATGGAAAAATTATTAGGTATCATTTGTGAAAGAAATGCAAGACCCAGGAACAAAAGACGGATACTGTTACGTCATTTTACTCGAATATTATTCCCCAAAACCTTCATGGCCAAAGCATATGTCTTGGGTTCGACTTGACAACCGAATATGGTTTCCCACCAGGTAGGAGTGCATACACATTACATCTGACTTGACAAAGGGGCTGGATGGCAGCAGAAGCTATCAGCATTCCATGGTGTCACAACCATACTAGAAAGGGTAGGTTGTGACCCCCACAATCGTAAGCAAGAAAAAAAAAAACATGCAATTGACATCCATAGGACCACGTCAAGGGACAAGAGAGAAGTGTCGACTAAGGATGATAGTGCATTCAATTTATATCTAATAGATTCATTAATTTTAAAACAGGTTGAAAATTGATGGGCAAATAAAAAAAAAATACCTTCAATAAACACTGATTACAAAAATTCATAAAACAAAATTTAAAGATGGACATACTTGAACAAGCTTGTATAGATTCTCTTGATCATCTTCATGAAAGGCAGTTCTCTCATTATTGGTTTGAAGGGATTTTCTTCGTTTAGATTCCGCACCCAAAAATCCTCCAGAAATGAAGCCATATTTATAGCCCCACCAATCAGGAGAAATGGTGACTGTGTTTTCTGTAAAGACGCAGTAAGTACATTCAGAATATGGTCTGTTTCTTTTTTCAAGATAAAAGACGGGAAGAAAGGAAGAACCCAAGAAATTTGAGAAACTTGGACACTTGCCCCTTGAGCAAGCTTAGGTCACCCCCACCAACTACTACTTAATTTTATCAAGGGGACTAGCTAATCTAAAATATATACAATAGAACACAATAAATATTTGAAAATTTAAAAAATTTAATGGCAAAGCACTTGATTCCTAACCTAGAATCAGAACCAAACCAGCAAAAAAAATGGAAGTATTGCAAGTGATAATTGATAATTGCCTAAGGACAAAAAGTTGCAAGTAATAATTCATAATTGAGTTAGGGAAAAAAAGTAATCCCATAAAATTAACGAGGTGTATGCAAGTAATTGACCCCTTTCACTTCAAACCAAGAGATCGGTGCACAAAAATGTCCTGAAAGACAGTTTTGAAACATTGCGAGAGCACCCAAGAATATAGTATCCACTGCTAGAGGTTGTGTAATAGTCGTTGACTCATTTCTCACCTAGTTTATTAGGTTATTGAGTCCATTAAACAAGCGCATTGCATTAGGTTGCCGACTCATTTCTCACTTGGATTAATAGGTCCTTGACTCACTTCTTGCTTGGTTTAATAGTACATTCGTTTAAATTGGAATGCTTTTATTTTTCCATTTTGTTTCATTTCACTCCGTTTGGAGTTTGGTATCCTTGAGCATTAGTCGATTTATCTCTTGTTAAAAAGAAAATGAAAATACTTAAGACTTGGAAAAGACCAAACAGAGGTTACAATTACAGAAGGAGACAAATAATAGTGTCTAGGTTGAGTTCCTCGCTCCCCCACTCCCCTCATAAAAAATAAATAAAAAAAAAAAACCATAACAACATTTATCCTAGGTGAATCAAACACTTTATTGAAAAAAAGGTCAAGTTGTAAATAAATAAATAAATACATTTTAAAGACCAGGCCAGAAATCCATCACAAAAGGAAAATTAAATTACCTTCAATGGCAATAACTTCAATTTCAGATTCCTCTGATGACTCCAGTTCCGTGACTGCATTAGGACATGTTTCTGGTAATTCCTCCACCTTTTTTGCCTGCATTGTAGATAAACTTTTTTCCCCCAATTACATTCAGATTCACATAAGAGAATCCATAAATACTCAGACTGGCCTGCTAATATATTGATAACGCTAGAAGAAATAATTGGTCAAGTTTAGCTAAACTCAAAGTTCATTCATAAAATTAGAAAGAACCCACGATAGAAAAACAGCCATGAAAAAGAGAGATCCAGTAACTTCAATACTTACAAGGATCCCTTCAAGGTCCTTGGAAGAATATGCATTGACGAGCTTTCCTCTCTCTCTTCTCTTATATCTGGAAAAGAAATGTAAAATGTACATCTCCATGTAATTAAACGATAGGGGTAGAGCATAAAATAAATTACATTATACTGATACAACTCATAAGTGATAAGAGTAAATATAAAATGAGGAATACAACAGGACCAACCTTCCTTGTGGTCGTGTAGCCTTGACAACCAGATCCTGATCATCATCCACAGTTTCCACCGAAGTGCCATCTTTCTTTGCAGCTGAAAATCATCATACTATAAACATCAGGAAAATGCCATACTTTTGTAATGCTGAAGCCAATGCTCAAAGTTCTTACCTTCCTCGGTGTTTTGTACTGCTTGCTGCAATAAAAAAAAGAAAATTTTAAGCTACTCTCAAAATATGCACAAAATTAATACAAGACAGTAAATAAAGAATGGAGGGAAATACCACTTTCAGTCTCTTCAAGATGTTGTCAAATTGTGTTGTATCAAAAGCCCAACTGTTCTGCTTCTCAGTGCCAATTCCTAAGGTCAAAGAAGAAGTCAAAACAAGCTACAATGCATTCGTAAATACTGAGCCACAATTTATGAGCTGGTGTTACTATGATTTGGGAACAAGTCAAAACAAGTAAAAATCTAGCATAAGAACCTACGTATGTTGCTAATTGTTGTCATATCTCTATGTGTCTTCATTCCAGAAAGTGGTGCTTGTGAAAACCCTTCCTTTTTTCTCAACATCATCAAACTCCTACCACTAACCATCAGACCACACATCACCAGAAGGCTTACAAACATATTCTACGCTACTTAAGTAAGTTTTCAATCTTCCCCTGAATAGCTTGGCTCCATCTGGGAATGCCGATGCAAATAGGCTAATTCCTTGCCCCTTGGATGGTCGAAACTCAACTTCTAGGGTTTGTTTTCATTTGGGAAATACAATCTGAGCAGATGTTATTCATAAGCAGATTGTCATAGCTTGATTTAGCAGTACGAAGTCGATAGAGCAATTAAAAAGCCACTCTTTTCAACTTTCCATTTCCAAATATAAACTTGTTACCCAAAAGAACCAAACTACTCTTTTAGTTTCTAATTAGACAATTTTAAGAACATATTCTGAAAGAAGAAAACAAAACAATGAAACTATTGGGATGCAACCTTATTTCTTAAAAACAGCAACAAAAAACACGATTATTATCAGACGATTGTCTGCCTGTTCCCTAACAATACACTAAATCCCAAAATCAAACCCACGCATGAACACCTACCATTTTCAGTGAACGTTTTATCAAGCAGAACAAAAACTTAAATTAACGAAACAAAAACTGAATTTCAGGAAGGAAATATGGAAGAGGCGACAAACCGGCAGTGTCTTGTTTATTTTTAACTCTAACATGGCCTTTGATCCCTTGCTTGTCTTTTCCGAGCCCTTCTCCTTCTTCCCACCCCTAAAAAATTACAGATTCCACAGGAAATTCAATGATGTAGAACGAAGAACAATCCATATTATTAGATTGGTGGAAAAACAAGGAAGGAAAGGAAGTAACCATCTGTTTCATAAGGCGAAAAGCTGCGGATTGTCTTGCGACGCCGACATAGCAGAGAGGAGCTTCGGGGGCAGCCATGGATTCTGCTTGGTTCTACGAGAAGAAGATCCACGGCCGACTTCTATGTCTCCTCAGGTTTTGGATGCGATGAGTTTAATCAAGTCGGGACACTCCGAAACCTAAAGCGGGAGCGACCAAATTACCGCCGGGTTTTTTTATTTATATTTTTCTGAAATTTTAGTAAATGGGCCCGTGGAGTTTGTTTACTTTGTAATATGTTTTAAATTTTAAATATTTTAAAAAATACAAAACTGAATTAAAAAAATTATATTAACTTTTTTTTTTAAAATCTATTAAATATTTAAAAATTATTTAAAATATTTTATAAAATTCAATGAGTAAATAAACACAAATTAAAGCGCCGTGTCTCCACCGGTTGTGATTCCAAAGGCGCTGTAACTCCGAAATGACTCGCTTCTCTTCCTCTTCCCTCTCTTTCTAACATAAATTCAGCGGCATTTCGATGGGGTCTATGCTCGGTGACCTGCCGTCATATGATCCTCACAACTTCAGCCAACTCCGACCCTCCGATCCTTCAACTCCTTCTGTAAGTTCTCATTAGTGGCGGAATCATACACCCTTTATTCTGTTCTTGTAATTGATTCATGTAATCGTTGAACCCTTTCGTTCGTTTTATTGATCCTTGGTGTTTTCCTCTATTTGTGACGGCTGTTTATTTCCTTTTGAGTGGGGAGTTGCTTGAGTTGTTTGTTCGTCGAGGTAGGGTGTGAATTGTGAGGAAATTGAACCTCATCGTGATCTTCTTTGCTCTGTTACTGTTTGGGCTCTGCTAATTTTTGGCATTACTGATCTGTTTTCTGGGGTTGTGTTGTTTTATCGTTTTAGAATCTGGAAATTCTTGAATTCTTGGAATTTTGATATGAATGTTCTTAATTTAGCTAAGTTTGTAGATGTAAATCCAATGATGTTCTTCTTTTAATTTTAACTCTTCTTTTCTCTCTATCTTGGTATGCTAATCTTGTAAAGTCAGTCCTGTGAAAGTAATGATTCCACTAACTCAACCACGAAGAATTCGCTGTAATGTGATATATTAAGGGGACAAATCTGCAAGGAACAATTTCTGGGTTACTGACCTCCAGAGAAAAGAAATAATTTATTTCTCATGTATAGGTCAATCTTCAAGTTGCTAACGATTCTGAAGCCCAAACATTCTAATCTTTGGACTAGGAGCAAGTTGCCTCTTCCTTTTGAGTATACAAAAGGTGAGATCTCGCATCGGTTGGGAAGGAGAAGGAAACATTTTTTATAAGGATGTGAAAACTTCTCTCTAACCGGTGCATTTTAGAAACCTTGAGAGAAAACCGAAAAGGAAAACCCCAAAGAGGACAATATTTGCTAGCGGTGGCAAAAAGTTGCGTCATGTTCCTGGCTTCTCTTTTCTTGAGTTATACAGTTCACTTTCAAATGTTTATGCTTAGAAACTCCCAATCAAATGCTAAGATAATGCAATAGGATCAAAAACTCTAAGAAACTTAGTTAGAGGCTGTTGATTGAGAAGGTTTCCAACACCATCTTAACTAAAGCTACCAAATGTTGTACCCTTCTCTGAAGGGAAATCCTTCTGTGGATGTTAGGCTGGTGGTGTGAGATTTCACGTTTGTTGAAGAGGGGAATACATTTGTTAGTAGTGGATTTGGACTGTTACAAATGGTATCAAAGCCAAACACCGAGCGGTGTGCTAGCGAGGACGCTGGTCCCCCAAGAGAGTGGATTGTGAGATCCCACATCGGTTGGAGAAGGGAACGAAGCATTCCTTATAAGGATGTAGAAACCTCTCTCTAAAGGGGAAGCTAAGAAGGGAAAGTCCAATGAGGACAAATGAAGGGTTTGGTTTAAATTGTGTACAATAATGCAACATATTTTTACTAGGGGAGTTGCCTGCTGCAAGAATTACAGCAGAACAACATATTTTTACTCAGTAATCTGTTTTATTATTATTATGTAGAAGATGATTCCAGCAACTTATCATCCTACCCACAGCAGGACCCTTCCGCCACTGGATCAGGGTAAGCAAGAAAAACCGTTCCCTCGTTACAATGCCGAGACTATGATTTTACCGACCATACCGATATCTTTGTATCTTGATCGGCAAACGGTACCTTAGTCAGTAGTTTTCCACTGTTAGCTTTAGTTTCCATCTCCTCAACTTGGTTTTTGTCACCATGTCACTGATTTCTGCTGCAGTTATAAATACTGAGCCAAGAAATATACTTCTACGACACATTTATCAGCATACAGAACAAAAGGTTAGTAAAGAATCTGTATGCTTTGATATGAAATACAATCTATACATGGGTGAGCTTGTGAGAATAAACACACACATTCTTTATGGACTTTCCCTGTTCTTTCTAATGGCAGTCAAGAACAAAGAGACCTGCAGCCGAGCATCCGATGCCCGAGCACGGAAGCAAGCAACCAAGAGCATCTACTGCCAACACTTCAAATTGAGCCTTGGAGGGCAGTTTCTTCCAACAATGTAAAATCTGTTCTATGTTGTGAAATATGTTGTGAAACAGCTCGGCCCGACATTTAAATGCTGTATATAGATTTTACTCCTTGTAAGAATGTGCTAAACTCAGCCACACCAAATTGTTCTCAAAAACATTAACAGTTCACAGCTTACCATTTTGGCCTTCAAATCTTGGCCCTATTCTTCTTTAAATATGTTGTCGGAGGCTCCTTCGCAGCCCAAATCCACTGCGGGTAGATATTGTCCGTTTTGGTCTGTAACGTGTCACTGTCAGTCTCAGGGTTTTAAAACGTGTCGACTAATAAAAGGTTTCTACACTCTTATAAAAAATGTTTTGTTCCCCTTCCCAACTAATGTTGGATATTACAATGACTCTCCTTGTTCTTCTTTCACGGTTGTTTAATATATATATATAGTGTAATAATTATAAGCTCATAAAGTTGATAGGAAGTTAGTGGGCGCACGAGAAGCATATTGGAGTAAAGAGATAAATGGTAAAGACATTTCATCCAACACTTTATATAACGTAACCAACCCTACTTAAACCTAACCATATTCATATTCATATTCATATTCATTCGAAACACATTAAAAACAACTAACAACGAAATCTTGACTATTTCTATTTCGATCCTTTAAACCAACCAGACTCTTAAAAGTCACAATACAAAAAACTGAAAAATTGATTTGTAAGAGACTAATTTAATGATGAATGAGATGAAATTTTACTTGGAAAGTTATTGGGGTTGCGATGCATAGAAGCAAGAGTCACTTTGGTTAGTGTTTTATAATTTACATCAAATATGGTGAGATGATTTGCATCAATCAAGCATATCATAATCACCACTTTCGCTTTCATTATCATGTCTTTTATTCACATTCATTATTATTATGCCTTCATACATGTATAAACGTTACATATATATATATATATACACACACACCTTCTAAGCTTCATTTATTTTAACTAATCTCTTTTTGGGTCATTGATATGATAGATAATGACCTTTGTTGCTTTTCCACGCTTTGAGATATATTAATTTACACATACACATAATTTAAGTTTGATACCCCTTTTGTTTTGCAATACCCAATTTGGTTTAGACAACGATATGTTGCATGCATCTTACTTTAATTTCTACTACTTGTGTGAGGTTCAAGTCTTTTGGTTATTATTATATTTAATGCTAATGCTAATTAGTTACCTTTCTAGCTACTTCTTATTTTGATGAAATTAACATAATCATGAATTAAGCTTATAAGTTTATGTGATTGTAATTCTTCTATTCATTATATTTACATGTTGTTCTTATGATTATTTTAATGTTGTGGGGCTTCTAGGGTTTTATCCTTCATAGCTTGTAAGAGAAGATGGGCTAAATTCCAATGAGAAACACCAAAAAAATATGGTAAACTTATTGCAATTCTCGCATGGTCATGGTGGAATGGGGCCCAATATTGTCCATTGTGATACTTCATATTTGGTTAGAACAAAGCATTCTTTATGAGGGTGTGAAAACTTCTTCCTAGCATACCTGCTTTAATATCGTGAAGCTGACGACGATACGTAACAGGCTAAAGTAGACAATATATGTTAGCAGTGTGTTTGGGCTGTTACAAATGGTATCATAATCAAACACCGAGGCGGTGTATCAATGAGAACATTAGACCTCGAAATGGGTGGATTGTGAGATTCCACATTAGTTGGAGAGGAGAACAAAACATTACTCACAAGGGTATTAAACTCTCTCTTTAATAGACGCATTTCAAAATTTTGAGGGGAAGCATGTAAAGAAAAGCTCAAAGAGGACAATATCTGCTAGTAGTGAGCTTGAGTTGCTACTAATGGTGTTAGAGCTAGTCATCAAACGGTGCAATACACTAGATGGAGTGGGGCCAAACCCTCTCCATAGTAGACATGTTTTAGAACCGTGAAATTGACAGTGATACATAACAGGTCAAATCAAACAATATTTGTTAACAATAGGTCTAAGTTGTTACACTTACATACAATCAAAGTACTCCATTAGTTAGAAAGGAAAAACACGATGAACTCTTATAATAGAAAACGGTAAAGGAGGTAGAAGTAATGTTTCTAGCAATTGGTAATACTAAACTTAGTGACATGGAGTGTGATCAAAGTTGTCCCAATTTAGGTTTAAATTTGCATAAAATTTGGTCCTAGGCTTTGTCCAAAAATATCACATATTAATGAGACAGTAAATATGTTGTTATGAACTAATGTTATGAGATAATAAAACAATTCCCTCCTAGGTTAATTTATGAACAAAGTAAGAAAGGCGGCTAATAATTGAAATCATTAAAAAAAAAAAAAAAAAAAAACAGCAAAACAAGAAACAAAGATTGACAAGTGAGCTACTTGGTTGGAAAATTAGGACTTTTAAACCTTACTTCAAAACAAAATTTTGATTTATCATAATGAAGAAAGAGCCTAATTAGCTACATGAAAAAGATTGATAATATAATGATATTGATTAAATATAACATATGCATCTCATCCATTTAACGCTAATTTAACCTAAAAAGGGCCGAATAAATCTCATCCATTGTTACTTTTATGTAATATTCGAGATGTTTATAAGATAGGACGGGATGAAGAAGCCTTCTTCATCTTTGCTCCTACCACCTACTTCAATCATCATCACTAAAATTTGCGCGATTATTTTTAAAAAATACAATAATAATATCTCTAATTTTGTTTAATTAAAAATTAAAATTTTGTGTTATTAAATGAATATCTAATTAAGATCTCCCTTTTTCAAAATTTGCAACAAGATTTTGCTTTTCCAAAATTATTTAATTCAATTCTTCAATTTTTATTTCACATTTTTTAGGGTTTTACCTTGTATTTGCGTTTAAAATATGTAAAATATTTTAAAGTAATTAATTAATAATTTAGGTTAAAAATTATTAAAAATAGGATTTAATTTCAATTTTATATATTGGGATGATTATTTCTTGTGAATTAAGTGAAAACCACTTCCCACACACACACACACTAAGCCTCGCTCTTGCTTTCTCCTCCATAATTACATTAATTTTTTTTTTTTTTCCTTTTACAATAAGATTAGAGGATGTTACAAAATGAAGTATTAATATTTGATTACTATTTATATTTTTTGAATTAATGTGTGGTTATTAATCAAAGTTGTTGACAGCATAACTCTATGATCTATTTTTTAATATTATTTGCTATAAGAGAATTTTAAAAATAATGGATTGTATTTTTTAAAAAAATTGAAAAACTATAGGAGAAAATTATAATATAAAGTTTGATTAAGTGAATAAATATGGTAAAACAAGACATTGATTGGAGTGGAAGTTGGCATCCATGAAATTACATCATTCAATCGTCATCATGTTTCCTCTTATGGTATTCAAATAATTCATAAATTTAATTAATGCATATAGTAATTAAATACATTAAGGAAACTAAAAAAATAAATAAAAAATGGAAGCGATTTCATTGTCATAAGATCTTCTAAGTGTTCCTTCCACCCTCCATGTGACATTATCATTATTGCTTATGTTATAAACTTGGTATTCCTTAACAACAAAATTTTATAATAATATTATTTTTTTAATTATTTAATAATTACACAATTAAGAAGAGTTATACCATATATATATATATATATATATATATATCTATAGGTGTAAAACTATCTTAAATTTCATCCTAATTAATTTTGCTAGCCACTAATGCAAAATTGTCCTGTATAATTTGATGCTTAATGGTTATTTTGATAATTATAATTAATAATTTATTTTTAAAAAGATAATTGATATCAAATTATTATGACATCAAATATTCTTAATTTTTAAAACAATTTTAAAAATTAGAATTGAGTTGGTGGATTGATGTGATAAAAAATATATAATTCATGCTTTGTTTCTTTTTCAACCGATATGGTATCTCACAATTCACCTCCTTTAGAGGTCAACGTCCTTGCTGACACACTATTCGGTGTCTGGTTATGACATCATTTATAACAACTCAAGTCTAGCAGACATACATTATTCTATTTAGATTTTCTTTTTCGAGATTCCCCTCAAGATTTTAAAAAAGTTTGGTAGGGAGAAGTTTTCATACCTTTATAAAGAATACTTCGCTCCCCTCTCCCAACCGATGTGAAATCTCACGTAGGAGCCAGTGTCCTCGTTGGCACACTGGGCAGTATCTGGCTATGATACCATTTATAACAGTCCAAATCCACCCTAGCAGATATTGTCTTCTTAGTGTTTTTCTTTCGAGCTTTCCTTCAAGATTTTAAAATGTGTCCAGTAGGGAGAGGTTTCCACACCCTTATAAAAAAATGGTTTGTTTCCTTCTCCAGCCGATGTGAAATCTCACAATTCACCTCCTTAGTTGTCAGTGTCCTCATTGGCACACTATGCAATGTCTGACTCTGATACCATTTATAACCGTCCAAGTTTACTGCTAGCAGATATTATCCTCTTTAGTGTTTTTCTTTCGAGCTTCCCTTCAAGATTCAGCAGGGAGAGGTTTCCACACCGTTATAAAGAATATTTTGTTTTCTTCTCTAACCAATTGGAATCTCGCATATATAATAATTAAGCAGTAAAAAGAAGGCAATGCCAATAAACATCTTTTAGATATAAATAATAATGATAATAATGGATGCGTGCGTGTGGCATATGTTTGATTTTGTCCTCGTCTGGCAATTATGTGTTGATGTGTTGCAATGTCACTGTAATCAAAAGAGAGAAATTTTAGGGTTTGTGAGAGAGTTTGTGGAACCACCGGCAAGACGAAAGAAGTTGGTGATTACGTAATACAAATCTACGTACAAAAAAAAAAGCAAGTCGATTGCTGGAATGTCGTTTTAGGGTTAGATGGGAAGAAGAAGGGCCCCACTTCCCAAGTCTTCTTTGTCGGCCGCCTCATCTCCATAAGAGCCCTCACACAAACCAACACACTGTGATAAAAGATAGATAATTGAGTGGCACCCATTAACCATACCCTTCAAAACCCTTATTTTTCTCTCTCATAGCTTAAGTTTCAAGAAATGGGTCACCATTCTTGCTGCAACCAGCAGAAGGTCAAGCGAGGACTCTGGTCGCCGGAAGAGGACGAGAAGCTCATTCGCTACATCACCACTCATGGTTATGGCTGCTGGAGCGAAGTTCCAGAGAAAGCAGGTAGAACCAAGGACATGTTAAATTAACTGTATTTCAATAATTGTCTGACTCCATCTTATCCATGCTTACTAGGGTTACAAAGATGTGGGAAGAGTTGTCGTTTAAGGTGGATAAATTATTTGAGACCCGACATTAGAAGAGGCAGATTTACACCCGAGGAGGAGAAGTTGATCATCAGCCTTCATGGGGTTGTCGGAAACAGGTTTCCTAATCTAGCAGTTTAGTTTCGTTAATTAATTGTAATTCTCGAATCTTGATTCGGAGATTACTATATTTTGTATTATAGGTGGGCTCACATAGCAAGTCATCTGCCAGGTAGAACAGATAATGAGATAAAAAACTACTGGAACTCGTGGATCAAGAAGAAGATTCGAAGACCTAACTCTATAGCTCCTGCTACCATGACGATGACCACGACCACCGTCCCCACCACCAACACGGAACACATTCAACTAAGTTCGAATCCCCACCAACTCAATTTCCTCACACAAGACCTAACAACCAAGCAACTCTCCCTCCATCAAGAAACCCTATTCCCCACTCTTTCTTGTCCACTCTTCACATTCAACACATCCTCTCAAGAACTATTCCATGACACATTAAGTCTCAACCCTGATACTACTACTACTTGGCACTTGAACCACCCATACCATCACCACCACCACCACCAGTTTCTGTCGGAGGTGCTCAACCCTCAAATCGAATTGGGGGCTACGACAAGCGTTATGAACAACACGAATAGCTATTTGCCACCATTGATAGAGAACATTGAAAGCTTGGTGGGAATGGATGATGAAGGGGAGATGGCATTAGAGTGCTTGCAAAGGCAGGATGTAAATGATTGGGTGGTCGAGTCGAGCCAGCCACAAAACTCGAACTTTCTCTTTTGGGAAAACGTTGAAGGATCTCTTGGTGGGGAAGAAGTTATAGCACCAACTTCAAATTCCACCATTTGAGGAGGAACAGAAGGAGCTAATACATTATCTATCACCTTCTAATTTCCTTTCATTTCCATAAGATTATATATATACATATATATATATATATATATATATTGGGATAGTGGGCTTGTTTTATTTTATTATTTTTATTATTTTTGCTTGATTGTTTGTTGTGTAAATAATATAACATATAAAAAGGGGTGAAAAAGTTTGTTCATTTGGGGTTTGGAAAAATATAGAGAGGAAGAGAAAAAAAAAACATTGAGAACAAAAGCAATGTGGGAATGGAAATATATTATTATGTATCAATTTAATTGTTTGATCCTAAGATTATTGAATATTTTCTCGTTCGTTCATGATATATTTTAATTTAATAATACGAGACTGTGACAGTTAATTTAGTTTATGTACGAGTTATAAACTATTTTTGGTTAAATAAATTTATGAAATTTACTAAAGCTTATATGGTAGTTTAAAATAAATAAATAAAAGTAAAATAAAATAAATATTAAGAAGCCCATTGGCTGAAAAGCCCATTATTTTGATATCCCTTTGATGGTTTATAAGTCCATGTGTATGAGATTTAGGGCTTTACGCTGTGAAGGAAGATAGTGGAAGGGTTTCTTTGTAGCTGCCGCTTCTTCCGCCCGCCGCCGTTACCGATCACTTCGTCAAAATGGTATGTCTTTTTTCCTCTCTGTGTATGATCCATGTCCAAATTTATGTGTTTGTTAATCCAGAAACGAACGGTAGATGTTCGGGAAATTAAAGGGAACTATAGGTTAGTTGTTACTCCCGTTAACTGGCGCCATTATTGGATGTATTTGGATTTGGATGCCATTAGTTTTAGCGACTTGAACTGTGGAGTGTTTTTTATTTTGTTGTTCATAATGTTAATCGAACCTTGATGGGGAGTGCATCTGTTGAAACGATCCGAATGTTGCCTTTTTAGATCATTCCAGAGAAGAACCGCAGAGAGATCTCCAAGTACCTCTTTCAAGGTAGTGAATTATATTCAATTGTGCGTTCGGTTAGGGTTTTTGTACTTCGTTGGGTAATTTATTGTTTATTTGTTGTTGTTTCGTATCAGAGGGAGTTTGTTATGCCAAGAAGGACTTCAATCTGGCCAAGCACCCAGAAATCGATGTGCCTAATTTGCAAGTGATTAAGCTGATGCAGAGTTTCAAGTCTAAAGAGTATGTTCGTGAGACATTTGCTTGGATGCATTACTATTGGTATCTCACCAACGATGGCATTGAGTTTTTGAGGACTTACCTGAATCTCCCTTCAGAAATTGTCCCGGCTACCTTGAAGAAACAAGCCAAGCCAGCTGGTCGACCATTTGGTGGCCCATCTGGAGACCGCCCACGGTTGGTCTTCTTCCCTTTTTGTGATGATTTTTCCACCTTTGGCTTTTTTGTTTTTGCTCAACTTTGTACTGGGTTTTAGCTTGTTGAGTTTACTCATGGTATTACTACTTCTCTGTTGCATAATTGTCGATTCTAAATAGGCTTCTTCTGCATCGATTAGATTGAATTTGGAACTTAGTTAATCTCTCACATTGATATGACTTGGCTACTGATTGTGTACTACAATTGATATCGGAATTATTTCATATTTTGATTATTCTCTTATCCTCATCCCATGGTGTTTCTGTTGATTAGTCCGTCAAGATTTGACGGAGAAAGAAGATTTGGTGGTGATCGGGATGGCTACCGTGGTGGTCCTCGTGGGTCTGGTGGTGATTTTGGTGATAAGGGTGGAGCTCCTGCTGATTACAGACCTTCATTCGGGGTAAGCAGTTTTGCCACTCTTAATATTTCCCAACTCTTGATACTCATACTCAAAATAGTTCATTTGTAATTTGTATGAGATCGGTGAGATCCCAACTAGAAATTGTTTGATCTTGATGTTAATATAAATTTGAATTTTAGTTTCCGTTTCCTCTCCCAGTTGAAGGTAGTAAAGTTAATATTGTCACCACATTGGTGGATTTATCACTGTAGGGTCCTGGTGGAAGGCCTGGGTTTGGGCGTGGAGCTGGTGGCTATGGAGGAGCGCCGGCACCCTCAAATCTCGAATGAGACAACATCAATAGGCTTATGGGGAGTGTTTTTGTTGTTAGTTTTAGTTTCTAAACAAAATGAACTGCAGATGATCTTGAATCAAACTCATGAGATTATATCAGTTTTGCTTGCCTATAATTGATTGTCGGATTTTTTTTATTGCTGAAGTTTGTTTGAGCTCCCTTGCTGATCCCCAAAATTCAATTCTCACTATTTTTAGATCATAAATTTATGAACTTATTCCGGAAGTTGTTGCATACACGGCCGAATTGCTTGCATTTTGGATTAGTTGGGCCATTTACCCAAACAAGGTTTGACTGTCGAACAGTCGACCAAGTAGCCAGGGAGTAGAAGAAGAGAAGGGAAGGTTCTTACTCAGCCAGCAGACCTCCCGTGAAACAGCACCACCATATCCCTAAAAAGATGGAAAAGTACTTCACTGGTGAACTTTCCCAATCAGCTTCTTCTTTCTCTGAAATTATTAATTTAGCTTGCGTTTGGAGTGGAGCGTTGGATCGAATCCACAGTTACGAGCTCGAGCTCGTACGTCACAGTCACGAGCTCGTATGCTACAGTTACGAGCTTGTTCGTTACAATTACGAGTTAAACAACTGTATTTGTTCTTAATTAACTAACTCTCGAGAAAACATACAAGTTAAATATCTAAATCTTTGCAGAAATTTTATCCTTCTTAATTTATGGTGGCACGTCTGCAATTTCCCAGAAAGATAAATCTTTTTTTATGGGCCCTTTTATAAGCCTCAACAATCTAAAGGGTAGTTGAGAAAGATTGTTTCTTGTTGTAAGATTTGTACCTATTTATTAGTTCTTTTATTATTAATTTCGTGTTATTGTGCTTACACCTACTTATATAAATTAAATAAATAAAGTTCATTTTCTATTTTGAATGGTCTTCTCCGGACACGGATTTAAAATCATGATATGATGCAATCTTATATAGAAAAACAATCATAATCTCATTGACTTTTCCATATCCAATAATAATAAATGGTTGAGAAAAAAAGATTGGTTTAGAAAAATAAATAATGTTTAGCATTAGAAATAATATATATATATATAGTGATGTATTTCACAAGGCTTGAATTGGGCTACCAAAATTTTAATTATACAATTTATGGAAGCAATTAATGAATTCAATATGTTTATTGTTCACCAACAAGCAACCATTTTCCTATGCAAGGAGGACAATTTTAAGGATGTTCGAGAGAGAGCAAAAAAAAAAAAAGGGCTAAAGGTATGGCTGAGCTGACCCAACCAACAGCAACAGTGAAAGGGGGAAAAAATTGCATTAATGGCGGATTCAATTAGATGTTATTGGAGTGGAGGAGGCGTTTGTTTGGGTGGAGGGGAAAAGTCAGCTTTGATTCACGGATTTTCAAACCATTTTCGGATCAAAAGAAGCAATCGACATTGGCAATCAATCACTCGCCCCTCTTCACATTTTTCAGACCTTACTTTTTAAAAAAGCCCCAATCTACCTTTTCCAGTAACCCCATTTTGTCATCTCCCTTCCGATGCTTCCCAAAATATAGCATTCATTTACAAAGACAAACCTCCCCAGTTGCTGCTTCCTTCGAAACCGCTTCTGGGTCTTCTTCCAATTCCAGAAATGGCTACTAAAGATTCGAGTTCTGCGAGTGAGGGCAAGATTAAAGGGGTTCTCACCCATGGCGGCCGATATGTGCAGTATAACGTCTACGGTAACTTGTTTGAGGTTTCGGCTAAGTATGTTCCTCCTTTGCGACCCATTGGTAGAGGCGCTTATGGTCTTGTTTGGTAAGATCTTTATGTCTGATGGTGGGGTTTTCTCTGTTTTTGATGATTTTTTGATCTTTAAATTGCCCTTCTCCTCTTCTTTTACCTGTTTTCTTAAAAGTATGTGGAAGTTTTGGCGGTCCTCCTCCTGATCTGCTTTGCAGTTTCATGATAATATGCTTGTTTGAATTAGGAATTTTTCTGTAGGGGGTTTTCAGAGATTTAATCACCCAGTGTTGTATGGAGTAAGAGGATTTGTAGTGGCTCATTTTGATGCAGTTTGTAATGATTTGAGCATGGTTGGCTAGGTTGAAAACTAGCGATTTCATCAAACTTGAGTTCAATTAAGGCTAACCTTTTGCCCCCAAGATGGCCCCATTGGCTTAGGCCCTATGGTCTCTGAGTAATACCTATCCAGAGGTTGAGTGTTTGAATCTTGGAATGAGCTTAATAAGGAAAACCCTTGGTGCCTCCAGAGCTTGTTGTTTTGTCTCAATCACTTACTGCTATTTGTAAATGTTTGGCCATTCACTTGAAGTTTTAAGTATTCTTCAGTAGTATTGCAGTGAGTTCCATAGTGGTGTGCTGGGTCACATAGTTTCTTTCTCTGCAGCGCTGCTGTAAATTCAGAGACACATGAAGAGGTTGCTATCAAGAAAATTGGAAATGCATTTGATAATATAATCGATGCCAAGAGGACATTGAGAGAAATTAAGCTTCTTTGCCACATGGAACATGAAAATGTATGGTTTGCTTCTAATGACTTATAGTCTTCATTCTTTATTTTAAATTCCGTGCTTTCTTATTGTAACAATCTAAGCCCACCATTTGTAGATATTGTCCTCTTAGGGCTTTCACCTTCGAACTTCCCCTCAAGGTTTTTAAAACCCGTATGCTAGAGAAAGGTCTCCACACCCTTATAAAGAATGCTTTGCTTCCCTCTCCAACCGATGTGGGATCTCACAATCCACCCTCCTTCAAGACCAGCGTCTTCGCTGGCACACCCCCAGTGTCCACCCTCCTTCGGTTGGAGAGGGGTACAAAACATTCCTTATAAGGGTGTAGAAACCTCTCCCTAGTAGACGCATTTCAAAACTTTGAGGGGAAGCTTAGAAGGGAAAGCTCAAAGAAAATAATATCTGCTAGTGGTAGCTTGGGCTAGTTACAAATGGTATTAAAATCAGTCACTGGACAGTGTACTAGCGAGGACATTGGGCCCCCAAGTGGGGTGGATTGTGAGATCTCACATCGGTTGGAGAGGGGAACGAAACATTTCTTATAAGGGTGTAGAAACCTCTCCCTATCAAGCGCATTTTAAAACCTTGAGGGGAAGCCCAGAAACGAAAGCCCAAAAAGAACAATATCTGCTAGTGGTGGACTTCGGCTATTACAAATGGTATTAGAAGAGTGTAGAAATCTACGAGGACGTTGGGCTAGTCACCAACGAGGACGTTGGGCTCCCAAGGGGTGTGGATTGTGAGATCCCACAACAGTAGGAGAGGAGAATGAAACATTCCTTACAAGAGTGTAGAAACCTCTCTCTAGCAAACGCGTTTTAAAACCTTGAGGGTAAACTCGGAAGGGAAAGCCCAAAAAATACAATAACGGCTAGCGGTGAGCTTGGGCTGTTAAGAGAGAGAGAGAGAGGCGAGTATTGGTTTATCTGTTTCATCCTCTATAACTGCTCAATTTCTAACTCTTCACAGATTATCGCCATCAGAGACATCATTCGACCCCCAAAAAGAGAGGTCTTTAATGATGTGTACATTGTTTACGAGTTGATGGATACCGATCTCCATCAAATAATTCGCTCTGACCAATCACTGACAGATGACCATTGCCAGGTTTGATGCTGCAATCTTGCTTCATTTCCTTCTCTATTCCCACAGATCATTTTTACAAAATAGTAGTTCAACACACTCATAGTTGTTCTATACTTCTTGGGATCTAAACATTTAAACTTCAATCATTCTTCCCTTGATTTTAGTGGGTTCGAGCCATACTCACTCAGAAAAGAAGTAAAAAATGTAAAGTTCCAAGCTTGTTATCATAGTTGACTCAAGAAAAGTTTTCCCCTGATGAACTGGTGATTATACTTTCAATATGAAACTTCTTGACCATTCTGTAATTGATGTCAATGTATGAATTTCTGTTGGGGTTTCATTCAGTGTGAGGTTTTCATAATTGATTCATGTCGGGTTTCGTTCATTAGTATATGTTACTACTTTTCATAATCGATCCATTTTCTCAAGCTAGCTTGAACACTGATTACCTACATATAATTTAATATTCTACGAGTTATCTTGTCACTATACTGACATGTTACGCGTTAGCAGTACTTTATGTATCAGTTATTGCGCGGGCTGAAATATGTTCATTCAGCCAAGGTCCTGCACCGTGATCTGAAGCCAAGCAACCTGCTACTGAATGCAAATTGCGACCTTAAAATTGGAGACTTTGGGTTGGCAAGGACAACGTCTGAAACTGACTTCATGACTGAATATGTGGTCACTCGTTGGTACCGAGCGCCAGAATTGCTGCTCAATTGTTCAGAGTACACTGCCGCCATTGATGTCTGGTCTGTTGGATGCATACTTGGTGAGATCATGACCCGAGAGCCTCTCTTCCCTGGAAAAGATTATGTTCATCAACTAAGACTTATAACTGAGGTACAACTTTCAAATCTGCATTCAATTTCTGTGTTTCATGGCCTTAATAGCATACATCGTTTCTATGTAATAGCTACTTGGATCACCAGATGATGCCAGTCTAGGATTTCTTCGAAGCGATAACGCTCGAAGATATGTCAAGCAGCTTCCTCAGTACAAGAAACAACAATTCTCAACTAGATTTCCCAACATGTCTCCAGCTGCCTTGGATCTTCTAGAAAAGATGCTCGTGTTTGATCCAAACAAACGCATCACAGGTGAGTAAAAACCCTTCATATTTTAACCGAAAAACGATGCTTTGATCGGTTGGTATCTGATGTTCTGTACCATTTTGTAGTTGAGGAGGCACTCTGTCATCCATACTTGCAATCTCTTCACGACATCAACGACGAGCCAGTGTGTGGCAGACCTTTCAATTTCAATTTCGAGCAACCATCGTGCACTGAAGAGCATATCAAAGAACTGATCTGGAAAGAATGTGTCCGGTTCAATCCTGATGAATCAGCGAGGAGGACGACCCTTTGCGTTTAAGGCGATGTAGATGGTGGAAATTGAAGGAACACGTTGTTTTATTGTTCCTGAATAGGAAGGATTTAATGTGATGAAGTAGATAAGAACAGGTGTAAAACTTGTATGCTTTTTACCCATATAAATTGGAGTCCTGTATTGTACAAGGAGTTGATTGATGCTGATTCCTGCGAGTGAGGGAATTTAACTAAGAACAACACACCAAAAAAAGATGCAAACTGGGGCTCTGTATTAAGTTCTTTTCTGATTCGAAGCTCGCCGACGTTCATGGCGACTGAGATCTCCGCCGTTGCAACCACAGCATAGTACCGGTTTAATTTCATGGAAACTATTGAGGATTGGGTTTATAAGCCAAGCCATTGTCTCTACGAGACGTCTATATTATTAATATTTTTTCGTTTTTGAAAATTAACCTTTTAAATCATAAATATTCATTGTGGCAATATTCATAGATTTCAATTTATAATATTTTATAAATGTATTAATATTTAATTCAAAAGTAACATTTAATTAATGTATTTGAGTGAATTAACGTGGGATGTGGAGTAACATAAGTGGCAAACATCGTACTTTGTCGCTACGGGAATCTCCACACATAAATTTCCTTTTTTTAAAAATAAAATTAATTTACTAAATTGAATTGTGATAAAAGAAAAAGTGGTTTAAATTTGATCAATTAATTTAGCATACATCAATAAGCTTTTTTATTAATTAATTAAACTCTAAACTTCTAGTTATTAATTAATAAAAAAGATTTAAATAATAATTCATAGCTATTGGAAGCATAATCATTAATTCCATGCCGTGAGAGACTCTTGCGTGAAGCTTAAATCATATCCATTAATAAAGTTATTTATTTTTTCATATAAGTTTTTAAGAAACATTTCAATTAATTTGGTCCATAATTAGGGTTGCAATTAAATGATATGAATTTAAACCCAATCTATGAAAAGCAATTTAATTTTCTTTATTATGCAATGTATTCTCTAGAAATTTATTTTTTAAGATTCAGGAATAATATTTTATTTTTGCTTTAAAATTTTAATTAGATTAAATACATTCCTTTTAATTACAATTAAATTCTAAACAAATCCATTCAAATTAAATATTCTTTAAAAAAATTTAAAAATTAAAGAGCGATTTTGAAAAAGACCCAAGGGAGGAAGTTGAACCAACCGGGTCCAACCAAAATAAACCCACAAAATTATCGTGTACGACGCGCTCAGCATAGATCCCCATCACGCCTCTTATCGCAGCCGTTAAAACCCTAAAAGGGAAAAGGTTTGGTGAATGAAGATGATCTTCCTGATCGCTTCGCCTCCTCCCCCTGTCACTCCCACTCTCTCTTTCCAGTCCAGCCCACAACGATCGCTTCGTTTCGAGTCCGCATTGTTGAACGCGTCCGATTTCGAAGGATTCCTTCTTCAATTTCTTCTTCTTCTTCTTCTTCTTCTTCAGATTTTTAGTCTCGGAAGAATTGGAGAATGAAAGAATCAGAGAAAGTGTTTTGGGATCAGATGAAAAATCCGACTGGAAATCCTCACATTGCCGCCATCAATTCTCCCTCCAAAATCTCCTCTAAGCTCCTTCTCTGTCTCATCTTCTTCGTCTCTTTCACTTACCTCATTTACTCTCTCAAACTCCTTTCCTCTTCCCGCCCCTGCCCCGACCTACACCCATTTTCCTCTCATCGAATCTCCAATCTCTCCGCTCTCGCTGGAATCTCTCCTCTTTCCCTTCATCTTCCTCCGCCCCTCAGTAATCAGACGGAGCTCCGGCATGTAGTGTTCGGAATTGCCGCATCAGCCAAGCTCTGGGAGCAGCGGAAGGATTACATCAAGCTCTGGTTCAAACCGGAGGAGATGAGGGGGACGGTCTGGTTGGACCGTAAGGTGAAAACTGACTACGATTCCGACGATCTCCCGCCCATTAGGATCTCCGGCGACACGTCGAAGTTCGCATACAAGAACCGGCAGGGGCACCGGTCGGCGATTCGAATCTCGCGAATCGTGTCGGAGACGTTTCGTCTGGGGTTGAAGGATGTGAGGTGGTTTGTGATGGGGGACGACGACACCGTTTTCGTGACGGAGAATTTGATTAGGGTTTTGAGGAAGTACGACCATAACCAGTTGTATTACATTGGGAGCTTATCAGAAAGCCATTTGCAGAACATTTATTTCTCGTATTCCATGGCGTACGGCGGCGGCGGGTTTGCCATTAGCTACCCGTTAGCGAAAGCTTTGGTGAGAATGCAGGATCGCTGTATTCAGAGATATCCCGGATTGTACGGTTCCGATGACCGGATGCAGGCCTGCATGGCGGAGCTAGGTGTTCCCCTCACCAAACACCTGGGTTTCCACCAGGTACGTTTAATTAAAAGTTGTGTATATTATTCTGCATCGTGTTCTGACTTGTCGGTGGCGATTTGAAGTGGGTTTTGCTTTTGGGTTTCATTTTCTTCACCTGCAAATCTGCCGACTGCTTGGGGTGGCTTTTGAGGGTAAATTATTGCTTTGGATGGGCCGAGTTATGGCCGAGTGGATAGTGAGTCACTGCCGAGTTGCTTATTCTTTTAGGGGTTTGATTTAATTCTGACATCGTGCATCTTTTAATATGCTGGACAAGTTCGAGGCATTGGGAGTTGGGGAAATTTTGAATAATTTAAATATATTTAATCTGAAAACTATATATTATAATTTGAACTCAAGATTTGGGTCTAAATCTAGGGTGAACAATAAGTGAGAATGAGTGTTATATAAGCATTAAAAAGAAAACTCAGAAGTCCACTGAAGATCTGCCACTTCTTTGTCTACACTTAGGCTCCTTGCTAAGGAATGGGACCCATTTTCTACTTTCCTCTGTGTTTGATTATTGGCAATGTTACTGAATGAATCTATTTTTTCATCAATTAGTACGATGTGTATGGCAATCTATTCGGCCTGCTTGCAGCTCACCCGATCACGCCCTTCGTGTCAATTCACCACCTCGACGTAGTTGAACCAATCTTCCCCAATGTCACCCGCCTCCAGGCCCTCCAACGTCTCAAAATTCCAATGCAGGTCGACTCTGCAGGTCTAATGCAGCAATCCATCTGCTACCACAAGTCCAACACCTGGACCATCTCCATCTCGTGGGGCTTCGCCATCCAGATCTTCCGTGGCATCCTATCGCCCCGTGAAGTCGAAATGCCAGCTAGAACATTCCTTAATTGGTACCGCCGGGCTGATTACACAGCTTACGCATTCAACACCCGACCAGTCAGCCGAAACCCCTGCCAGAAGGCATTTGTGTTTTACTTGTCTGATGCCCAATTGAACTCGACGACAGGGCAGACGATCAGCAAGTACACTCGACACCGGATGCCTCAGCCAACGTGCAAGTGGAAGAGTCCAAGCCCAGCTAGCATCGACATCGTCCAGGTGATCAAGAAACAAGACCCCAACTTGTGGGACAGAGTAAGTAGTTGGATTCATTTTGATAGTAAAACTGAAATACTTTTGATTGATCTTGATTGTGTGTTTTTGTGTAATAATCAGTCTCCAAGGAGAAATTGTTGCAGAGTGATGAGATCAAGGGAGAAGAAGACGATGATGGTGGAAGTTGGGATATGCAGAGAAGGTGAAATCATTGAAGTAAAATAATTATCTTTTTTTGTTATAAATTATTTAGATATCCTCTAAGGATTTTAATGTAGAAATTAAGGTTGTATCTGATTACTTTATATAAATATATATAGAATATGATCTAAAATAACTTCTAACAGAATTTAGTATTAAGTGGAAGACATGCAACTGACTTAAGCTATATAAATATGGATTGTCAGATGTTCAAAACATGTTTATTCATGAGATATTTTTTTTTAAGAAATACATAAATAAGGTTATTTTTTTTATTGAATGTGTCAATTTGATTAGGTTAAGGTTAAATTATAAGTCAATTTGGGTGGTTTATGTCAGTTTGAGTATAGCTATCAACTTAAGTATAACTCAATTTGAACATTAAAAAGACAACGCAGTGACAGTCGAACATTCGTATTCATTGGGCTCAATGGAGTGGTCAATGGTCCACTCCCACACCCTTGGTAAAGTCACCCACGAATAAATATAAAATTGTAATCATCTGCTTGAAAGATACGTCGTCTCGATCCATTCCCAAAACCGAACTCTAATATATATGTTCCAATGCAAAATTAGTTGCCTTTCTTGACAAATCTTGACAACTCCAACTCCTTTAACTCAAAAGGTCCAATATACATACCATTTGAATAATACCCTTTTGAATATCCAATTCAACTTTCATCCACAAAGGCCTCAATCTCAATTTGTAGCCATATAATATTCAATATTCAATACACACAAATTAAATTCATAATATCTATAAATTAAAATCACAACCATCCATTCCATTAGTATATTTCTAGTTCCATATCATTATCATCGTCGTCAACGAGCCCTCCCCCAAGTATACAAAAAGCTTTACGTATATTATGTATTTGGAGTATTTGAAGCTATTGGGTTATCTATACCTAAAAAATCTCGTATTTTTCAATGACCCTTTTCAATTTTGTAGATGCTTTTTCAGGTGTGTCATTATTCGGCCAAGTCATGAAGCAATTGAGCACCCATCAAATTTCTGTAAGGAAGATTCTGAGTTTCTCCATCTAAAAGTGAATATTGAACCGGTTCACACTCTTCCATTTCATCACTTCTGAAGAAAACTGAGCTTTGTGTTGCATGTTGCTGTAACCCTAATGTCAACGACACTCCGCCGCCACCGCTACTAGAGTGGTGGTGGTTGTACGATGAGAAGTCAAGCTCCACTGTGCCAAATGCATCAGCGCCAACTCGCCCAAAACTCTGGTTTTCCATTGCTCTCATGCTTCTTGAACCGTTCTTTTCTGAGTTGTTAGAGATGATTGAAGACATACATTCCGACTCAATTCTCAAGAGTTGGTCTGGCGTTGGCTTTTGATCCACCAACCGTGTCGGGATCAATCGATGACCATCGATTTCGTCGTCGAAATCCGCCACCCCATCGGAAGAATGGCCATTAAAATTGTTGTTGATTTCTTCTCCTTGCTCCTTGGTTTCTTCTAAATACATCTCTTCCACCATTGGCTTCCACAGCCTCACCCTCGCATTAATGAACCAATTCGACACCTAATCAAAACAACAAAACTTACAACATAACAACATAACAGCAAACACAAACAGCCCTACAATCAAACATCTTTAAACTCATCAAAAAAAAAAAAAAAAAGCCTCCAATTATTACCCATTTCATGAAAATCCATCAAGCATTTACAAGAACAAAGTGGGGTTTGGTTATATTATAATAAAACAATGGATTTTGTAAGAAGATATGAACTTCAATAAAATAAGAAGGTGGTTGAACGGAATATGATGAAGTAGGGTTTTTTGTAATGTGTTTTTTTGGACTTGCCTGGCTTCTTGAGAGACCAGTTTGGCGAGCTAAAATATGTTTATCCACATCGCTAGGGTACCTGCAAATGATTCAACAAAAAATAAGAACCCCACAAGAGTTGACAGAGAAAAATGAATTAAATGATTGAAAGCAATATGGACAACAAATGGGTTTTGAGTTATGTGTGTAATTTGGCAGAAAAATGAATGATTTGAGGGTTTACGGGTGAAGAAAGTGTTCGAAAAGCCAAGCGCGAAGAACAGAAACAGAACGCTCAGGGAGGCCACGTTGAGGGCGCCATGGGTGGCTCTCCATCATGCTTATTTGATGGAAAGCTCTTTGTTGCCTTAAAGCTTGATCGATGACTTTAAGCCTTGGCGTTTCTCCTCTTGTGGTGCCTGGAGTAATTGGATCCTTTTCTTCTATTGCCTTTTTTGTGGCCTGAATTTGTCCCACAATCCCATCTTTTAGGCACCTAAAATGCCTGGACATCGCCTTCGAAGCCAACGCCGAGTATACCCTCGCCGCCCCACTCCCTGCCACCGCCTCGAATGATGCCACCACCGCCTTCATTTGCTCGCAGTAATGCCTATACCTTCTTTCAACCTACAAAGATCAAATTTTTTTAACGATTACTCTGAATCACATCAACAAAATCACTCCAATTCCTTAAAGGGTTATGTTTTTTTACCTCTTCAAGCATGGAAAAGAGCTTGGTTTTTCTCCTTTGCAAGTCCATGAAATCAAGTGATTGGAGAGAAATCTTGGTAGAAGAAGACCCATCTTCCATTTCCCATTGTTTTGGCCTATTCCCTTTGTGTTTTGGTGAAGAAGAAAAATCAAGGCCTTGTTTGTTGTTGTTGTTAATGGTGATTCCAAGGCTACAAAACTCATAAAGAAGGTCCTGAGCTGGGGCCAGAAACCTGGAGTTTCGAAGCTGAAAAATGGGGAGAGACGATGATTGGTGTTGATTTTGTTGGGGTCTGAGTTCAAAAGATTGTAAGCCAATAGAAGAAGGATTAGAGGAACTAAGAGACAAAGAAAGGCCTTGGCTTGGCCTCTCATTGGGTTCACATGGAAACACGCATCTCAAAGCAGAATCATCATCGACTAAATGGAATCTGTTATTGCTGTCTTGCGCTGCTGTCCCCCACGGCCCAACCACCATCATGTTCTGATGAAACTCATCGCCGCCGGTTGACTCGTTCGTCCCCAAATTGAACATCTCCGCCGTATCGCCGCCGGATCCAAACCCAGTTTGGATCTGGCTCGTGAATTGGGTTTGGATGTTCAAGTTAGAATTCGAATTGTAGTAAAATCCTCCTCCTCCAACTACCATCTCGTTCGGTTTCTCTTCACCTTCACAAAGCTCTCGAGCCATCAACAACCACAAAATTACTGACTTTAATTCGGAATCCCTTTGTCCGACAGCTTGTTCTTGTTCTACCTGCAAAAGAAAATAATAAAACATCCATTTGTGTATAGTAAAGTTTGAATTTTGGTTGATTATAGAGTAAAAAGAGACTAACCCAGATGAGATAAGAGGAGGAGGAGGGCGGCGACGGCGACGGCGACGGCGACGGCGTAGGAATCTGTTTATGGTTGTTTCTTAGAAGAAATGATGGGTTAAGTATGGAAAAGAGAAAGAGAAAGAGGTGATGATGAGATGGTGGTGGTGGGAGCAATGAATAATCATAATCTGTGTACGTTTATAAGCTTTCTCTCTCTCTTTTCTGCTCTGAAAGTGTTTCTTCTTTTGCTCTGTGCTTCCTTCTCTGTTTAATGGGTCAATGGGATAAATCCGTCCAAAAATAGGCGTCCTACCAATAAATAAATAATGGGAACTCAATTATTTTGGTAACAAAAAAAGATTATATATACTTTTTATGAATAAAATAAAACAAAAAAGAAATGATTAGAAGAAAAAACACAGAGGGAAGTACCACAAGAGTTGAGAAGCAAAGCAACAGAGAGTGTAATGATCATAAAAGTGTACCCAAAGAACAGAATCAACGCAGCCGCCAACATGACTTCTTCTAAACTTTTTTTATTATTATTCTTCGTTTTAATTTTTTCTTTTTCTTTTTCCTTGTTCAATCCAAGAACTGAAAAGGAAATTAAAAAAAAAAAAAAAAAAAAAAAAAAAAAGGGGG